TCCTAGATTGGGTTTTCCTGGGTTGTCCAGGACAGGGCAGGGCTTGAACAAATTCTGGCTTCCTGATATGAATTTCCCTTGGGAGATGAAAAAGGCAGATTCCCTACCCTCACATGGACTCGCAGAGAAGTGGGCTGGGGCTGAGGTTATGCCTGCCTGCAGGAGGTGAGATCCTAGGAGGAGTTGGCCTTTGGAAGCAAGGCTTGGCCAAGTTGCATGGAGCCCAACTGACTCAAGAGACCTGGGTAAGGTCTGCACAAGGCCCTGCTCTGGAGCAGATGACAGGTTCAGTTCAGCCAAATCGACAGTGATGAGCACCTGCTGTGTACCAGTAATGTGGACAGGGAGGAAGCAAAGCTTCCCCGCAGGCTGCTCAGAGACATGAATCTGACAAGTGGGTCATGGGCTGCCACACTGTGGCTGGGGGTGTCTCCTGCAAGGACAAGAGGATTGAAAGTGACAGGAAGGCAGGAGCCCCTTGATTAAGGCCTTTCAATGGCTTCTCGTTATACTTACAATAAAATTCAAAACCTAGACAGAAGTTTAGAATGTCCAGCAGGATCCTGCTCTGTCCAACACAGTGACCACTAGAAACATGTGGCCATCCCGCTCTTGAAATGTGCTGGTTTGTTCAAGGAACTGAAATTTTCTTTTTATTTCATGTCATCTCAAGCCATAGAACAGCCACCACAGACAGAGCACTTCCACCATCACAAAAAGTTGTTCGGGACAGCACTGTCTGCTGCCCATCTTGGGCCTACTCTACCACCTCCCTGCTGCTGGTCTGTGGGTCCCAAGGACATCCCCGGCTCATGGGCTTTTTAAACCCACCATTCCCTCTGCTTGGAGCCCCTTCCCTCCCTCCCATGATGGGCAGCTGTGTTTTGTGTTTCAGGACTCGGTCTCCCCCCACTCCCTGTATTCTCCACCAGCCTCCAATCTGTTTCTCCAGAGCACTTAATAATCCGTAATCACTTGCAAGTTTACCCTTCGACACCACTTTAGGATGTAAGCCCCATGAGAGCAAGATGCTGTTTTTGGTATCCCCAGGGGCTGGTGTAGTGAGTCTTGCCCACTTAGAGCTTGATACATATTTAAGTGGCTGATGAATGGGATCTACACATAGGGAAATACACTGGGGCAGGCATCAGCATGGAGTGAGTGGTTGAGGGTTAGCAGAGAAACAGAGTGATAAGGAACACCTGGGGGCTATTTAGAGATTCAAGAGGGGGCAGCATTGTTCATTGGGGAGGTCATGAGGCCTGAATTAGGCAGCCATGGAGGACTCTGCTGTCTGGCCAAAGGGCCTCACATAGAAAAGGCCTGACAACAGAGAGCTGGCCCAGTGGCTGTTGTGCAGAAAATTCCAGGTGCCTGGAGCAAAGAGACTGGATTGAATAAGGTGAGGCCATCCTGGCAAGCATACAGGTCCAGAAAGGAAGGTTGCTTCATCTCCCAGCCCCAAAGGGGGTCTGCATCAGTTTGGTACACAAGGGGAGGTGGATCCCCTTACCTGGGGGGTTAGAAGTTAGGCAAAAAGAACCTGAAGCTGGGTTACTCTTAGAAGCATTAGGAATTCCAGAGACCTCAGCCTTGACTGGGTCTGACCTCTGCCTGGCCCGGGCTTCCCCTACCTCCCTATCTCTAGAAGGTAAACTTCACAGCCAGGAAGTTTGTCTCCTTTACCATTGTGTCCTTAGTGCCTAGGACAGGACCTGTCCCATAGCAGGTGCTCATTAAATACTTGTTGAATAAATAGAGCCGTGTGCCACTTTTCGGTGAACATTGAGTCCACAGGTTGTTTTACTCTCTTGAAGACCGGGAGCCTTGGTTGTTGAGAGTGAAATCAGGGTCATACTTGATGTGACAGGCAGACAACAGAAAATTAGAAGCCCATTCCTCATCATTTGTTCCTAAGCTCTTGAGGATGAAAATTTACGCATCTTGTTTCATAGTCAAGTCATAATTAACTTCTTTTGGGAAGCTTTCCCCAGATCACCTGCTCATTTTCCAAACTCATTTTCCAAAAAAATTCACTCAAATTTTTCCACCATCTAAATATATGTTCTGAAAGCATGCCACTTCAAAGATCAGTTTGTGTGACAATGCCCTTGACACCTGTTCTTCATTTTAGCAATGCTACCCTCTTTTCTGGTTGATTTCCAAGATAGGGCCCCACATGGGGTGAGGCTCAGGCAGGTGGGAGAGAGGGTCAATAGGAGAACTTCAACTCACTGGCTCAAAAGCATGCACTTGAGCCCCAAACCGACACCTTCAAGCTCACATATACCTCTCTCTGCTGGCCTTGATCATGGGACTCAACTGCCCCTTCCTGTCCTCCTTCTCCTAGTCCAGAAGGCTGATGTTGGCTCAAATCTAATCTTTACCATTGACTTAATCTGTGTTTTCTCAACTGCAAAACTATACTTCTTGGAGTGCTTATGGGGAGGACCAGAGGAAGAATGAGCTCAATGTAGACCTGCTTGTTGATGCACAGCAATGGCTTGGTGGGTGTCAGGGCCCCCTCGGCCTCTTGCAGATCCCCATTCACTTTGATATTGGCGGCAAGGGAGACCAAAGAGTTAGTCCAGAGGATTTGATTCAAGATTCTCCTGTTCTCCAAACCCACAAGTGGCATCAGAATTATATAGTGTTAGGACCACAGTATTAGATATTAGAACCCATTGACTATATCTCCTCACTTTACAGATTTGGTGCAGGGGAAAAGAGCCATCATGGAACATCAGGAGACACCATGAAGCAAATTAGTGACAACTGGAAGGGGAACCCAGATGGCCTGACTTCCCTTCCAGGTGACGGAAATAGATGTTATGGGAAGATAGATCCATGGAAGGGTTTTGAACCCACTGTTTGTCACAAAGAAATTACAAGAAGGCAGCCTGGCACTGTCATTGAGGGTCTAGGCTCTCAGTCCAGGCTGTGTGTGCTTGGCCTAATCTGTACCAATTACCAGCTGGTTGATCTCCCTGAGTGTCAGGTTCTTCATCTAAAGAAGAAATATGGTGGTGCTGATACCTGCCTCACAGGTCATGCTAAGGATTCAAAGCATTATAAGGATGACAGGGTCCATACAACTGGCTTAGAATCATGTTTGACTTGTAAACATGGGGTGCTCATAGGAGCGTAGTAAATGATGGCTATTGCCGTCAACATATCAAAATAATGTCAATACCAAAATAATAGATCAGCAGCTAGAGAAACTGAACTTTATACTTGGAAACAGTTGTAAAGATAATCAGTTTTAGTGTCTGTGAACTTGATTTTTATAGGGATATGGGCTACTCTAGTCACCTCCTTCAGGGCCCTTCTATATCCTAGTAGGTAGCAAAATTATCATTATTTTAAGACATAATTAAGGTTAATTATGGCCAGCATATTAGGTTTTAGATAGGCCAAATGTGGGATACAATGGAGTTGCATTTTTATATGCTGTCATGTGCACTTTATAATATACTTGGGTCCTTATATATTCGGTGTGCACCCTACTTTAATGCCCATTTTATAGGACTTTTATAAGGCAGCTGGATAGTGTGGTAGAACGAGCACTGAACTGCGAGTCAGGAGGCCTGGTTTGAATAGAGATATTGCCACATATTAACTGGGACACCACAGGCAAGCTACCTCCTCTCCTTACTAGTGCAGTGGGGAGCTGGGTTGGGTGATTCCAAGGCTCTGTCCAGCCCTGGTAGTCAGTGACTGGAAGCAGAATCTGAAAATATCAAGTGATGATAAAGGGTTATAGGTGTTGAACTTTTGCATCTAATTATGACATGTTTTTGGTCACATGTCTGATTTATTTCTTGCTGAGTCCTTTCTCTGCAGAATCAGAAGGGCAAAATAAAAGTGATATGTATGAGCTGTGAGAAGCAGTTACAAATGACCACGGTGACAGCATCCCATAGATATCGGAGACCCCAAAATTAAGCTGACCAGACTGCACTGCTACACAGTTCAGTGATGGATGTCCAGAACGAAAGGACCAAGTAAGTCATCAAGAAGAATGTTCAAGGTGCTCAACGTGGCTTTCTTTAGAAGGCAAGATCGCATGCGATGCCTTTTAGAAAGATTCCCATCAAAGTACTTTGAAAAACACTCAGCTGCTGTTACACACCAAATTCACTGGTGTGGCCCCCTCCATGCCTGGAGAGGATGCTACATAAATGAAGTATCTGTGTGTGTCCCCGGGGGTATGAGTGTGTATAGGAGAAAGCACACTGCAGTCCTAAAATACCAAGTCCATAGTAGGATAGTTTTAGAGATGAGATGGCTTCAGTTCTTTCAGTAAGGATCTGGGTAAGATTCAAGTTAGGATTCATTCACCTTAAACTAGCTAGCATTCATCCATTCAAAGATTTTTTTATCGAGTGCCTAAAATATGATATTGTTTTAGGGGCTATTATGGAGTTTCAGAGAATCCACTCTTCACATGGTGTTGTATAGGAGTGTATCCACAAGCGACAGATGTGCTACTTTGCAGTGTTGTATTTGACCTCTGGTCCTTGGTGTGGCTTTCCTGCCCTCACTTCCCTTCAAACATTCTGCCTTAGAGCAGAATGAGGGGTCCCCATAAGACTGAGCAATCCCCTTGGGCAGGAACTGTGTTTCCTCTGCCATAAGCCTAGGAGCCCCCAAGGAGGGGGTTGGTCTCTGCCATGACCTCAGTGCAAAGGGAGATTGGCACCTGACTCTCAGGGTAGGGGGCCTGGGCAGAAAGCCTCCTTTTTCCTAGAGAGAGGTCTCCTTCCACTCCTGGGCTGAGCACATACTTTCTTCATGAGCCAGCAGGAGTAGAACAGAGGGGCGTCTCCCTAGAGCCTCACCTCCTAGGGGAGAGAAAGGAGGAGCCAGCAGGAACTTGAGAGCATCCCACACAGGAGAGCAGCCCTGCCCCCAAGAGCGCTCGCTCCGCAGCAGCAGCAGTGCCCTGCAGCTGGGCGTCTGAGCCCTGGCGGCGGCGCGCAGCCCAGTGGAGTGGGTGGTGCAGGGCAGGGGTGGTATATCCTGTCTGACCGAGGGCGGGCCCTGCCAGTGCCTGGAGACGGACGAGCCAGGGTGGAGGCGCCAGGAGCAGCTGCCGGGAGCCTTCACGCGGACCACTCACTCTATGGCCATAGGGAGTCGCTGAGAGCGACAAGAGCACGCTCCCGCCAGCCCGCTGCACCGCACCTCGCCCGCGCCTCTGCTCTCCAGGTCCCGGCCCGCGCACCTTCTGCCACCATGAACCACTCCCCGCTCAAGACAGCCCTGGCATACGAATGCTTCCAGGACCAGGACAACTCCACGCTGGCTTTGCCGTCGGACCAGAAGATGAAGACGGGCACCTCAGGCAGGCAGCGCGTGCAGGAGCAGGTGATGATGACCGTCAAGCGGCAGAAATCCAAGTCTTCCCAGTCGTCCACCCTGAGCCACTCCAACCGAGGTAAAGGCCTGGTGCCCGCACGACCCGTGCACACCTCCCTGGCGCCTCGAACAGGCGGCGGGAACCGAGAGGCTGCCAGCTCCAGGCAGGGTCTCCGCCAAGTGGGAGCAAAGCTCCTGGCAGGGTGGAGCCACCCCGGCCACTGGCTAGCCGGGTCTAAGAGCTAGTGGGCAAGGTTGGGTAGCTCCCTGGGGTGAATAGCAGGGAACATCCCTCCAGCACTCCGGGAGCCCGAGAATCTCCAGGGAGCTGTTGTCCGTGTCCCTGGATCTGGATGGTCTTCTCTTTCTGGTTTTGCTCCGGGGACCAGCCCACTATTCTGTATTGCCCCCCCCCCCGCACCCCCAGTGCGGTTCACCGCCCCAGCGCTCACCGAGGGTTGTGGTCACTTCCCCACATCCATCCTTCTCGGCTTTGCGACCCTCTGCGCCTTCAGTCTGTGGTCAGCGCCCATCGTTCAGATTCAGTGGGATCCTGATCTTGGTGGGGCTGCTGCGTGGTCGGCGTGGTGGGCTGAGAGAATCACTGAGACCCGAGTTAAGGCTTGGAAGAGTTGCTTCAGGACCGGGAAGTACATGGGAATCAGGACAAGTCCTTGGAACTCCCTGGCATTCTAATGGGAGTTCACCCCAGGAAGAGGCAAATCTGGTTGAAGTAAGCTAGGAAAGTGGTCTTTTCTTTTCTCTTCTCTTTTTCTTCTTTCTTCCCCACCCCCCAACCCTTTTCTTCGAATCAGGGATAGAACCCAGCAGGGCTTAACTGTGGAGCCTCGGTTACAGCCTGTATTTTTTAAATTTTTTTTTTAATTTTTTTTTTTTAATTTTGAGACAGAGTCTTGCTAAGTTGCTGAGGCTAGCTTTGAACTTGTGATCTTCCTGTCTCAGCTTCCACAGCCACTGGGATTACAGACCCATGCCATGGGTCAGGGCTTGGATACTCCTGTTTTCTGCAATCGTTAAGGCAGAAACCCCCTTTCGCACTGAATTTGCCCTACCCCACCCAGCTTATGTAGAAACAAGTGTCTTATGGGAAGAGTAGGGAATGAGAGGGGCAGGATTGGGAATCCTCCTAGCCCCAGAAAGACCTCAGCAGAACCAGCATTGATAATTCTCCAAGTTTGGTTCCCAGCCTCTGTGAGTGACAAGGTCCCCCACCAGGGGAAGCAAGGAGAAAAGGATAGGACCCCTGAATCTGAAGAAGAAAGGAGCAATACCTAACTGAGGGGTTGATGGTAGAAGATTTTGAGATCAAATACTTTAATACGAATAATTCCCAGTAAGAAGTCCACATGTTAGAATTCTTAATTTGTTTATTGCTTTTTAAAATTTATTTAGCTAACTTTATTAAAATGCTAGTAAAGACTGCACACAGGAGTGTGCAAATAAGCCCAGGGCAGTCCGGACTTATTTATTAAGTCCAGCCCCAGGAAAGCAAGAGAGGCAGGACTGAGGCAGAAGGAGGCAAAAGATATAGACCTGCCCATTCTCCCATCGGGCACACACACCAGCTCGAATGCCCTACCTCTGGCTTCTGGCCTCTTGTTTCCCCATTCTGAGTGGCCCCAGGGTAGAGATAAGGACAAGAAACACGGCTGTAGTAGGTCAAGGTCTTTTCTGTACTCTTTGCTCTTGTTTCATTCCTGGTCCTTCTGCCAGATTTCCACTCACTTGCCCCACTTCCCTTTTATTTAGTGCCCTGCTAACTCCTTACTAGCCTCTTTTGAAAGTAGGTTTTAGAATGAGAAAATGCTGCCATTTCTGGCCACAGCCCAGGGTGCAGCTCAAGCCTACCTATTCTTCTCTGCAAGAGACTTGCCTGTCCCTCCTGTCCCATCTCCACCCCATTCCATTCAGCCTCAGCTCCTGGCTCAAAGCTCCAAAAAAAAAAATCTCAACCTGGCTCCTGGTACCCCAAACAGCCCTGTCACCCCACCTGTGGTGACATTAGCTGTGCAGCTGTCATCATGGAAAGCCTTGGTCTTTAGTCTTTGTGGGCAATGTCCATCTAATGGGGTCTCAATTCTGAGTACCCAACGAGTTGATGACCACGATGGCTAATGCATACCTATCCAGGAACTCTCCAAGGACTGACCCTGTGGGTGGGTCTCCTCTACCCTCAGCCTCTGGGGAGGTTCCCATCAGGGGCCAGTTTCTCCATCGTCATCCTAGCTGGAAAAGGCTGTTGGGCCACTTGGAGCTGGTGTTTCTGGTTTGTCTGGCTTTGTTTTCATCAGATTTCTCTGTCCTCTCCATCAGAAACGCCCAAGCGTTTCTCATTTGCTCCGTGGTAACCCAAATGCTCATCTTGCTTGTGTTGGTCTCTGTGCTGTGAGCCTGCTTTCCCTGCCGGGACGAGCTCGCCGCTGTGGAAGGACATTGGCACCTGGATAGGCTCAAATTCTCCTTCGGTCTTCTACAAAAGCAAAGAGTCAGTTTTTCTGGGGTCTTTGATCTTCTCTGGCCCCCTGAATCCTATCCAGGGTCGCCCTAGTTAGGAACGTCCACTTTAGTGAAGACCAGCCCCGCCCCACAGGTTAATTGACAACGCAGCCACTGCTTCTTGTCCCTGGTGAGGGATAATCAGGAACTGGCTACCTGTGGGCCTAGTGACAGAACCAGCCTTTCCTCAGACTCCTGTCACGACAGTTCTTTTCTGTCTTGTCAGTGTGTTTAGAGGAGTGTGTGCCCTGAGACCTGGGAGAAGGACCTACCTCTGTGGAAAGAGTCTGGTGACAAATGCCCATCTCCACCCACACCTTCCCTGAAACCTCGCCAACTAGGCAGACATCTCACCCTGGTCACAGAGTGTTCCTGCGAGGAATAAGGGGGTCTCTGTGACTGAAGACCCTGCAGAAGGAGGTTGCTATGACCTGCCTACCCATCTAGAACTGGCCCCCAAGTGTTACTCTCCTGTGCTTTCAGGGTGTCCCTGTGTGAGTCAGGGTATCAGGTACTTTTATTTCCAGATTGTGTGCTTGTCTACAAGGCTCTCTTTAGGCTGTCTTCCTAAAGCTTCACCCTAATTTTATTTGATCCAAAGCCAAATATCCCTACCACCAGGAATGCACATCACAACCAAATTCCACAGGACCTTCCCCTCCATACCACTTCCTCCAGAGAAATCAGCACCACCAGTGCTATTGGCCTGCTCTGTGCTGCCTCTTTGACATACGGGATTGTTCATTTCAGCCCTGGACCTTAGTTCCCCTTCTCAGAAGTACCATTTCCTACCTGCAATGTAGAGTCTTTATTGCCCTTTGCTCAGAGATCTGCTTGGAGCAAGTGTATTGGGGAGCTGCCCAGCTTGCCCTCCATGCCTCTTGCATCCATCCAGGCTCCTAGGGGGCAGCCTTGGGCCAGCTCCATAGACAGCGTGGTGAAGGAGTGCCCTGGGAACCCCCGCCTCTGGTGGCTTTTTGTGTTTGTGTTGGGTTGTGTCTCAGCATGAACCTCTGCCCAAGGAAGGCTCTGCTCATTCTGCTTTCTTGAAAGTTGCCCTCACCTAACCATAGGCCATGGCTGGGCGTCACTCTGGGGTTGTTTTCTCAGGACCCAAGCTGAGATGAGAGATGATAAAGGCTATTTATGCTTTAGCTTGTTTCAGTGGCAAAACATGCTAATTAAACTTCAAATGAACTAATTCTTTTTTCTTTACCATGTACCTTGGCTTGAAGTTGGGGTTTTAGTCAGAATTTCTGGTGGCCTGTTACAACACATGCAAAAATGCCGAGTATTCCCCAGTGTTTGGAGGCAATTGTTGTTTGTTTCCATGGATCCCGTCCTGTGCTCGGCTCATTGGCAGAAAATTTTTAAAAAACCAAATTCCTTCCCCCGTACCAAATTATGTATATCAATATGCCCATTGTTTGAGGTTTAAAAATCTGAGAAGTACTTCTGTGACAAGGTGGGACTTCTGGAAAGGTGTATGACGTTTGAACAAAATGAAATGGACAAATATTATTAGATATCTATTCAAAGTTCTTTATAGGCATATGCCACACATAACATAGCACATTACGTATGTTATGTACACATACGTATAGACAAGCACACAACACACATGCATGCATACACATCACTGTATACACACATATATGCACACACACTCAGCATGTACGAATACACACACCCACACACGTAGACACACCTATAGCCATATACACATGTATTCCCACACACATACACAGCACACATGCACATATTTTATATATATATATATATATATATATATATATATATATATTGAACACTCCCCCACATGTTCACATACCCTTGCTAAGAACATATATACATGAGTACACACACATGCTTGCACATGTACACACACCTTGCAGTGTGTGTTGTACCAGGAGCCCAGCCTGGCCCCTGCTGCTGGCTGGTGTATGGTGCTAGACAAATCACTGCCTCTCTCTGGGTCTCTGCAACTGTCAGAGGGTGGCTTAGATCATGTCAGAAGAGCTTTGTGATGGCAAATCTCTTTGGAAGGAGATTTCAAAACTTCCTACCTCTGCAAACCCTTTGCCCAAGCTGCCTGCAGAAAAGCTCCTTCCCTGAAGGCACAGTGCTCTTTGGGTTTCTCTTGCAAACATCCTAATATCCAGAAATAAAGTTCTAATCCACTATTCTCAAACTTGGCTACACATTGGAGTTAACTGGGAATTTAAAAATGCAAATGCCTGGGTCTGGCTCTCAAAAGTTCTGACTTAGTCAATATGGAAGACAGAGTGGGAGGCAGCACTTTAAACTCCCAGGTGATTCTGTTGTGTGGCAAATGTCAGGAACCAGTGTTGTAGTCCCCATCCTTCAGTCACACTTGGGCCCGCCACAAGGGATTGCCCCTGTACCCTAACATAACACCTTTCTCTCTCTCTCTCTCTCACGCATGCGTGTGCATGCCCACATCTAATGTAGTAGTTGCTGGTGATGGGTTTTTGCTCTGGACCTCCACTAGGAAGCCACATCCCATTCCTTGCCCACTCTAACCTACTGCCCTGCCCCCTG